CACTCTTCTGAGAGAACTCAATATTCAAAAAAAAAAAAAATACTTAATTTTCTTGCGTTACATATTGCCTTTCATTCCTCCCCATCCACCCACCAGTCCTCTACTTGCTGACTAAAACCCGTAAAGTCCTGTGACCCAAGTCAGGAACATTGGCACCCAAGGCACTAGATAAGGAATCAGGGAAAGCGCTATAAAACCAAGCTCATGCTGCAATATTTTCTTTCAGCACCTTCTCTGAATGCAGGAAACCAATGAGACTTCATAGGAAACAAAAAGAGCTTCCAATCAACTTTGATGACAAACCTATATTCTAGGATAATTACAAAACTGTACATCTTTGATGCCTAAGCACCAAGGGGACATAGGCATGACTGGGAAGAAGTTTCCAAGAAAGAAAACTTAAGGTGCTCTATAATGTCCCTTCTCTGAATTAGCTCACCAGACAATTATTTTATTGTCTTATCTATTTCACTACATTCCTTTCTTATCACTCAGAGCCAGCCAAGGATCACTGGGGGCAAATAGTTTGGAACACTGGTTGTCAAACCTCTAAAAATCCTGAGGCTCAGGCTACACCAGATTCCAATTCAATTAGAAGCAATGCAGTGAGACCCCAGCATCAGCATATTTTACACCTGTCCAGATGATTACAATGGCTGGGAATCACTGGCCTAAAATAGTGAGAAAAGCAAAGGAGTTCAAAGAGATTGGACTAATCACAAATCTTCCTGGGATTCTTCTTCTTCAGAGGACAGGACTGAGGAGAAATAAGAGTGAAGATCATTGTGTTAGGAAAATTGCAAGGATCATCCAACTCTAACAATTTAAGAAACCTTGAAATCCAAACATGAACATTATCACAGTAACTTACTCTTTTAACAACTATCATGGTAGCATAAAACAACTCAAGACATTTTTTTTTCCTTTATTTCTGGCACAAAAATTGGCCTGCTTTATTGTATCACTAAACACTCAGCAGGGTTTGTTGTACTATAAGGAAGAGAAAACCCACCACATGAAGAACATCCTTATTCACCTCTTTATCCTCATAACAAACCTCAGGAGGTTTTTATATAGGTGAGCTCCTTGAAAAACATGGAGGCTAAATAGTCTAAGTCCTACAATCATAGAAACTAAAGTAAAATTTTACAAAGGTATGTAGTAGTGGCAACAGTTGCACAACTCTGTGGGTACACTGTCAATGAACTGTATTCTTTAAGTTGTGAATCCTATGGTATATGAATTATGTCTCAATAAAGCAGTTAATGAAAAAAAAAGGTGTACAACAATTCCTGCCCTGTTGAATTTACAATCTGATTGGAGAGATAGGAAAAATATACCTAACAAATAAATACTGCAAGGAAGCCACTACCAAGTGACAAAGTGATAAAAACTTCTGATCAGAAGACATGTATGTCCATAATCGATAGCTTGTGAATTCTCACGAGTGTGCCTCTACACATGGACGGAATCCTCTTAAGGCCTAGAAGAGCAGGAAAGCCAGGAGGGGGTGAAGACAGCAGTCTGAAGACATACTGGCAGGGTTCAAACCTAGACTGGATCCCTAAACTGAATGGCCAACATTTAGAAATTACTGAACCTCCCTGAACCTAAATGTTTTCCTCTGTAACACAAAGCAATACTTCTCAATATTATGCAAATTAATTGAGTTATTTGGAAAGCTCTTGGAAAGGTGTCCAGCACCTAGTAAGGACTATGCAAGCAATCCTTAAATAAAGTCATCCAAACATGGAAAATCGAATGTGTACTAGACCTCCAGACCGAGTTTTCACTATGAATGCTTCAGCTTGTCCCCAAATTTCTTTATTTCTAGGCCAGTTTCAACCAATTATTGGTCCATGTCAAGTTTTACACCTGAACATCTTGCACTTCCGAAGCCTGAACACAACTGATCATTTCCTAACTTTTAACAGCTTCACATGGCTTAATATCATCATCCTTAATGACACAAACTTAAGCAATGATACAAAGAGGATGTCCACTACAGTAAAAGGGGGCAGAGTAGGATTTGCTAGTTTTTAGCAACACCATTTTTTTTTTTTGGTGGAGATTTGTGAAATATAACTTTTAAAAAAATCTCATTTACACAGATAAAAATCTCATTTACATTTTAAAACATGCTATATAGTTTTTGGAAGTTTTTCAAGGAAATATTCTAAACAATACAATAGGAAAGGTAGATGTAACAAGGAAACATTTAAGAATTATTCCTATAAAAGAATGAAAGTTTTTTGAGTTAATCTCAAAAATACTAAGACTTGCAGATTAATGTTACTTCATGAAAAACCAGTACTTCTTGCAATGGTAAGCAGTAATTTTCATGGCAGAAATCAAAATAAAAAGCAGACCAAAGACTAGATTTTCAGTCTTCCATTTAACCAATTTAAAGATGGAAATGAATGATTAGTTATATGTGAATAAGTACAAAGACCAAGAAAATTAAAACAAGATTAGGAAATGGCAGTGTGGCCACATCTATGGAGAAAACATCAAGTCTGCATAAATATTGCAAATTCACCACAGTGAGAGTATAGTGGGTGCTGGAATTCACCTACAATTGTTGAGTCCCCAGGTTCACAGCCCAGTTTCTTGACACTCCTTTGAGGTAGGCCTCTCTCTCTCAGGATCCTTGATTCTTTACACAGACTGTCAATCCTACCTACAGATGAGATTCTTAAGGCTCTGTGTTCAACTGACAGCACACAGTAAACTAAGCTCCACCATAAAAGCAAGGAGCATTAACTCAGGATGCCCAGAACTGATCAGTACCTGACAGAAGCCAATCTATAAGGATGGTGCCCAAAGGGACATTATTCTTGGACTAAGTATACTGACTTAACTATACTGCCCTTGAGCTACAATGAGGGCCATTATAAGAAATGGCCTTACGAAACCACAGATATACATTCACGGTCCTGAGATAGTTTTGAATGCAATTCATCCCCATCCCATGTAAAGGCACAGAGAAACTGCCCTCAGATAGCAGCACAAGGAGCCTTCTCTCCCCAGTAACTGACCTCTCTGATTATTTCTTTGCTTTGGCTGCTGGAGATATAGTTGCCTCTAACAAGCACATACTTCTTTCCTACTAACCTTACTCGTGGCTTCATCTCACTTTCTCTTTATTCTGGCTTTCTCATCAACTCAGATTTGATTTTGATATGTCCTGTTGGATTATAAATTTATGTATATAGGATGCCAGCCATCAGAAATCCTGGAAAGAGGTGAGTTTAAATAAATAAACAAAAACACAGGTTCCCAAACAGTGAATGTTTCATTTTCCCTGACTAACTACTTGGCTAAAAACCAATTGCCCTTGCTAGTGTGTGACATTTTACTAAAAAACACACCAAAATGTTAAACCTGCTTCTATGTCACTTATGTTACTTCCTGCTAATTAAGTCTTATGATACATCGCTAAGCACAATTCAGATTCAATTTAGGCTCCTCAATTACTTATCTCCAAATAAAGTAAAATTACTTAATTCATCAGGAGACATAAAAATGACAGTAAATAATGGATATTTACTTCCACTTACTCCACGGAACTTATTCATACCAACCTTGGACTCACAGCTTCATGAAAATTTAATGCAAAGAAAAAGTCAAGGGCTATTGGCTGGAAAGAGTCAACTTAGCTTCCTAAATACACACACACACACACACACACACACACACACACACATATGCACCTGTGTGCTTACTCACACACATGTGCACACACACCAAGAGCAAGTTCCTGATGATGAAACTCAGAGTAATTACAGAAAAGAGAAAGGCCGCTTGGGCCATCCAGTCTAGGAACATGAAGAAGCTGGCAGATTTGGGGAGCCTGGGGAGACTTAAGTCACAGAACAGCATTTAAATATATTTGTCTGCTTACAATTTCCATTGCAAATGTGATTAGTTTGCTTGAATAAATAGGAATATGATGTGTTGGCCATGTTTTCCTCTTGAGGGTTATCACAGAGTTTTGATTAAGGACAAATGTTTGAAATGTTGGGTATATTTAAGTTCACTGCACTTAAAATGAGCTAAGAAGTTGTATAGTCTTGATTAAAGGGCTGCCTTCGTGAACTTAAAATTAAAAGCAATAAATTCCAATGATTCAAGTGATTGGGACTAAATATGGTATTCTGCCAGGAAAGTTGAAATGCAGTCCAAAGAGAATGAAATGGTGTCCAGGTTTCAAGAAATGGTGAAAGAGGAAAGGTCAACCTGTCAGAGTTGCCTTTCCTCTGGGATAGTGAATGATTCACATTACACAGAATTCCTTTTAAGTAGAACTTCATAGGAGTGACAGGCTCCCAGGACAATCTGTTTTGTCATTTCCAAAAGGAAGCCTCTCAAACGCTCCGAGGCTGGTTTGTAAGTGTTGTCAGATGGGAAGAGGGAGGAGAAAGATGGAAGGGGGAGGGGCAGGGTCCCTGGCCTTGCTAAGCACACACGCGCAGTCCAAGTCTCCCAGGCAGCTTCCAAGACCAAAGTCAAGGTGACTTCCCTACACACAGGAGGGCGGAGCCACTTAAACGTAATAGGATCAGCCTTCAGCGCCGGCTTTACCCCCTAGAAGACGCCTGGGTCAACGACCACACACCGTTAGAAGCAGGGAGCCCTGGGTCGCCGGGGGGTCCTGCTGATCTGACCCAGACCTTTTCCCCACCCAGGGACACCTGGCCCCAGTTGCGCCCGCTCCTCCACGTCGGCCATGGCTTGGCCCGGATCCCGCCAGAGCTGGGCCAAGTGGGAGTGTCCAGCTGGTAAAGTTTCTTCTGCCAATGCGGGCCTCGGTCCTCACACAGCCGCACGTGCGGTCCAAGACGAGCAGTCCCCTCGGTCCTCCCGCAGCTGCAAGGTGGAGCAACTACCCCGGCAGGCCCATTTTCCGCCCCCAGTTGCATCCACCTAGGGACGTGAGCGCGCGGGCCTCGGGCGCAGCCGACTGCTCCCGCGCGCCCCCGGCCCCGGCCCCCACTCACCTTGGCGGCCGCCATGCTTCGGGCCGGGCGCACGCTGCGGCAGGACCGCTCCCTGGCTTGCTGGCGCGCACTGGGGGCCCGGCGGCTCACTTCCCGTCCCGGCGGCGTGCGCGCCCGGCCTGCCTCCCCACGCCCTCCCGCCCGCGCGGGTCATGCGGGTGCCGCCAGCCCATTGGCTGGGCCCGGCCCGGGCCGCCTGGGCGCGCGTGATCCGACGGCCTCTGCCCTGCGGCGGGGAGGGCCCAGGTCTGGGGGCTGCGGAGGGGCGGGGACACGTGACCCCGCTGCTCTGTCCAGCCCCGCGGCCTCTGCAGCTGGGGTTCAGGCCAAGTGCAAGCCGGTCACCTGAGGACAGGTGAGCAGTGAGGGAAGCCGCTGGCTTCTGCTGGTACCAGGGGCTAGTCCTGGGTCCATTGACAGGGGCAAGTAAAGGTAGTTGGTACACAGCCCGGGGAAGGTGAGAACTACACGAGGGTACATGTTTAGGCCCTGATTCAAAGGGACTCCTCTCTGCACTCTCATAGAATTGATCCCAGAAGTCTTTCATCTGAAAACATTGACTGATGGCGGGGGAGACAGTATTGCTGGCACGTCTACTTTTAAGATCAAATCTGGTAAACTCTAAAGTACCCAACAGGTGAATAATGGTACAGAAAATATATTTGTGAGACTACTCCGTTTCAGCCCTTGTCGATTAGTACAAAAAAAGGTCAAAAGTACCCCCTTCGGAAAAACAGGTCCTCTAAAGTAAATATGCCAAATTTTAATTGAAAAAAAAATTGAATGTATGACTGCCAGTTCTTTTATTCCTCTTCATCATCGGATTTCACTCATTTGTCGCTGTCATCAAAATTTGCAAGACAGTACTGGTTCACGCGGAAGGTCCTGGACTGTATTGAGTATCATGAATATAATATATAAGCAAAAGCAGTCACCAATCAGTTTAATTAATCAACATTGACTGAGTGTCTACTATGTGTCAGGCCTATATTCAGTGCTGGAAATCCCCAAAATATATGAGAGCTGGTGACAGCCCTTAAAAAGCCTAAGGCAGACATCAGTGTTAACTTCCATGTAATTTACTAAGGCAACAACCTATTCCCTAGCACACTACTGGAATGAGGGAGACTGAGAAAGCCTCTTAGAAGTGACATCTGAGCTGAATATAGGAAAGCGACTGTGTATCAGTCCATTGAGAGGATAGCAAAAGGGTGTTCCATCCACAGAAAATAAGGAGAGGCAGGAAGTCCAGAAATTGCTGAGGAACCCAGAAACTTGGTCATAGAAGACAATGTAAGCTGTGGGTGGGGTGGAGGAGGAGTCTGGGCGGCAGGAAGGGGCCATGTCCTGGAGGGTGTTGGGTTCTATGAAGAAAGCATGTCCACACTAACTGAGGGACTTTCAGGCTGGAAGCAGCATGGCTAGGTTTCCAATACAAATGGATCTCTCTGTGCTGTGATTTGAATGTGTCTCCAACATTCACATGTTGGGAACTAAATCACCAGTGTAACAATGTTGGGAGGTGGGGCCATTTGGGGAATATTAGGGTTATGCCCTAATGAATGGATTAATACCACTATAAAAGGGGTTTGTAGCACCTGTAATCCCAGCACTCAGGAGGTGGACACAGGAACAGTTCAGGTTCCAGGCCAGCTGGATACATATTGAGATCCTGTCTAAAAATAAATAAATAAAAGTAAATAAGAAAAGAGAAAGGCTTGCAGAAGTCAGTTTGCTTTCTTTCTCTTCTACCTTTCTGCCATGTGAGTACATAGCCATCCTCTCACTGGAGGACTCAAAGCACAGGGAGCCATTTGGGAAACAGAGACTAGGCCCTGACTTGCTGGCATCTCGACCTTGGGCTTCTCAGCCACTAGAACTGGGAGAAATAAATTTCTGGTTCTTACAAATTACTTAGTCTAAGCTATTTAATAGGCTAAGCCACCCTGCTTAGGGTAAGCTACTGGAATATCCAAATAAGACAGCTTGGGGGATGCGATAGGAGTAAAGGAATATATAAAATGTAAAATTAGTTGGCCAAAGTGACTAATTACATGTAGGAATTCTATGTGGGGAGACATTGTATAGTGCACGTAGACCTGTGGTATCTGTGTTGGAAAGACACCTGAGATCAGTAATACAAGAGGGGTGTTTTGGAGGCATGTATGTTTATCTGTAAGGTATATGTGCAACCTACAGATTATCGTGTAGAAGCCAAAGAAGCATTCAAAAAAGGAGCCACTAGTTAACACACTCCAAAATGTCCAACAGAGCTCAGAAGGTTGGAACACATTCATAGTCCAGAAGAAAGACCAGCAAAGACTGAAGGAGTAAAAACATAAGCATAAGCCAAGCATGGTGGCATGTGCCTGTAATCCCAGCATTCAGGAGGCAGAGGCAGGAGGATCTGAAGTTTGAGGCCAGCCTGGGATACACATGAAAACTCTTTTCTCAAACAAACAAAAGACAAACAAACATTGAAAAAAAGAAAGAAAAGCAAACCAGAAGAGTTGATAGAGAAAAGAAAGTATGGCAAGTCCAAAGCCACTTTGAAGGAGAGGCACCTGCCTGATAAAAGGCACTATAAAGGTGAAAAGAAAATACAACCTCATGTAAATAAAACCACATCTTGTGCTGCATATTTATTTTTACACTATCACTAACACCCTCCTTTTATAACAAATGAAACTTTTTTAAAATTTTAAAAGTTTGATAAAATATGCATAACAAAAATTATCACATTGTGCAATCCATCCCCAGAACTCCACATCTTGCAAAACTTTGAAACTTTTCACCCATTATACCACCATTTCTATCCTCCACTCCAACCCTTGACAACCACCATTCTACTTTCTGTCCCTATATATCAGACTTCTCTAGGTACCTCATTTAAGTGGAATCATACTGTATTTGTCTTTTTGTGGTTGGCTTATTTCACTTAGCACAATATCCTCAAGCTCCATCCGTGCTATAGCATATGTCAGAATTACTTTCTCTCAAAGGCTGAATAATATTCCATTAACTTTTTTAATAGAAAATGAACCAAGAGTGCATTTTTTTCTTGAAATTTTGGAAATTTGGAATTCAAGAAATCATAGTAATGACCAAATAAATCAGGATATTCCTACCATTGGAGCTAAGCACTAGGACATGTCACGGTTCTTTCTTCAACTATTGCTGTGGTTATTATGTGTAGAATCATATTTTTAATTTAAATACAATGAATCATCCTGTGTATTAGTTTCCTGTGGCTGCCACAAAGTTGCCACAAACTTGGGAGCATAAACAACAGAAATGTATTCCCTCACCATCTGGAGGGCAGAGTTGAAACCAGTCTTATGAAGTCAAAATCAAGATGTCAGCAGGCCTGTTCTCCCTCCAGAGGATCTAAGGAGAATCAGTTTCTCTGCATTTCCAACCGCTCACGGCCCACCTTCAAAGCCAATGAGCACAGCCTCTTTTCTCCCTCTAATGCTGCCTCCCTCATGCAGCCTCTTTTCTGCCTCCTTCTGCCTCCCATTTTACAGGAACACTTTTAGCTGGGTGTGCTAGTACACATCTGTAGTTCCAGCACTCAGGAGCTGAGGCAGGAGAATTGCCAACTGGAGGCCAGCCTTAGCTACATAACAAGTTTGAGGCCAGCCTGGACTAATAGTAAGACCTTGCCTCAAAAACAACAACAAAAGGGACACTTTTGTTTGCATATAGAGCCCACCCAGATAAACCAGAACATCTTCCCACCTCCAGACCCTGAATCACATCTACAAGGTCTCTGCCATACAAGGTAACATCCTCAGAGATTACAATTAGGATTTGGATACTTTTGGAAAGCAATAATTCACCCTACCAAACCTACCACACAGTTTGTAAAAGTGCAATTCTATTTACATTTAGGATCATGTTCACTTAACTAAACTTTACTCTTCATTCTAGAAGTTCCAAAAGATGAAATTTCTAAAAAGATAAATAGTAATGAGCCTCAGAATAAGAAAAAGATAATGGTTGGTTTCCACTTCACCAGTGAACAATGAAATGATGTGAGATATCATTTGACATGACAAAGTACAGGTGGGCAAGGAACCTGACACTGTGCCTTTTGCCACATTGTTTTATGATTTATTTATTGACTTAAATGCCCCCTGGTCTAAATAGCATGTCATATTTGTCTCTGGACCATATTTCCTTTATTTCCTTTATTTTACAGATAAGTGAATTTTGGTAGAAGAGGCCCCGTTTCAGGTTAAACTATGCCCTCTAAAATATCTAACCCCTTGTGCCTCTAACTAGGACTTTACTTGAAAATCGAAGATGCAATTAGCTAAGATGAAGTTATACTACAGAAGGAAAGAAAGGCCCCTATCATGTCTGGTATTCTTAAAAGGCACAGAGACACATTGGGTGAACCTTTATTCACAACAAAGGTAGAGATTAGAGTGATGCAGCAACAAGCCAAGGAACACCAAGGATCAGCAGCCACCATCTCGTTAGTCCTCCTTGCCTAGCAAGAGCAAGAAAGGACTCTACCCAGTCTCACAGGAAGCATGGTTCGACTGATTCCTCGGTTTGGGACTTATATCCACCAGAAATGTGAAACAGTGAATTTCTGTTGCTTGGAACCACCCATTTTGTGGTATTTTGTTATGACAGCCCTCGGAAACTAATATACATCCCCAAACCACCTGTGTTTTATAGCACATTTTGCCGACCTTGCTGACTGGGAAAACTGCCAACCCAAATCATGGGGAAAGCTTGTGGGCTAAAAGGTACACAGTATGAGCATGAACTTAGGCTCACTCAAGTTAAGAAGAGGGAGCAATGTGGCCTTCTCTGATCTTTCACCTTTCCCAGAGCACCTATGCCTTCTAGATGCCCTTTGACCATGCTCCGAAACAATCTGATCTTCCTCTTCTCAGTTACTAACAAAGAAGCAAACAAAAGACTCTACTACCACTGCCAGCATGCTCCCAGATTAGGTTGCTAGAAAGGGGATCCAGCCAGAATGCTTGCAAAGCATATCATCTACAGGAAATTTTAGGCATGTAACTACAAATTGCAGTAATAATCCTCTATATGGATTGCATTTTGCAAAAGTACAGAAGGTAAAGGACATGGTGTGG